CAAGTGACCAGGGAGGAAAAGTCTGATTTTTCCCTTGTTTGATTTTAACTTCTGGGTCAGAGGTTTGAGTTTTATTTTTAGCCTACCATAAAAATTGCAGTGTGATTGCTACAGGTTAGGGAGGGGACTAATCTTCCTAACTTAAGAGGGAGCCTGCAGTCAAAACGGTGTCTAATTTCATCATTCACAGATATCCCAAACCCAAAAAGAAAAAATATATATGTTTATGAAGTACCTGCTTGTGCTAGGAACTGCACTAAATACTTTGCATACATTATCCTCATTATCCTTTGCATACATTATCCAAAGCCCTTTTTTTTCTCCCACCCCTAAAAACACCATGACACAGTCAGCCCTGAATGAGAAACGGGGGGCGGGGGAGTCCAAAATCTGGCAGTCACGTTGTAGACATTTCAACTGTTAGTGCTGTGAACAGCAAAAGGAATCTTGGCTTAGGAACCAGGCCCAAGTTCCTAAAGATTGTCTACGAGAGGCACCCCAAGTCAGGTTTTTCCTAGCATTCTGGAATTAACTCAAGCAATTTAATAAAGTTTTTATAAAGAAAACCCTCATTGTAGGGCTAATGCGTCCCAAGCCAAATGGAATTTACAACATCCTTTTAAAGAATCTTACGGTGCGCTCACAGGAGAAAGCAACCACAACACTGAGCTGGCACCTGTGTGGCCGGGCACAGCTCCTGACATCAGCACAATCCCAGTGAGACACGAGTCTTTTTCACTGTAAAATCCAACTCATTTCACCCCAGGGTATAAGCCCTCATCCCAAATGATTGCGTGCACAGCAAACTGTCCAATAGAGCAGATCAGGACCAAAAGCACCAGGTGTCCCAATGTTCCAATGCCTTTCTCTCCATCCACACCCCACTGAAAAGAAAAAAGGCAAAAAGCCTTAGGAAAAAGATGCCCTTAACAATCCCCTCTGCTCCTCTGCATTAACCCATTTCACGTCATGTAATTATTGACTGTGTTAACACCAACATTAAAAGAGCACAAATGCAGTTTGTATTCTTGGAAATACTTTCCCTGCACTAAAACTCTGGAGAAAAATCAGTGGAGATATTGGGCTAGTCCCTGCCCCTTAATTAGGGATGAGGCAGAATCCTTGCCTGAGGGGCCTGACATAAGACGCCTTCCTCCCCACAACAACCCTGATGACTATTTTACCATCCATGCCAGAACCTGCAAAGCTACTGCTATCACTGCATCTGGCTTTCTGCTAACTGCAGACAAGCCTCCCATCTGTGCTAAGTGAACCTCGAGGTGATTTTCAAACTAAGAATTTCCTGTGTACCACGCAGACCTCCAATAGCGCTGTCACCTTGTAAGGCAGTTAGGGAATGAGGCTGGTTCATGATAGGTGACGTAGTGGCTGCCATCCCCTAGCCCAGTCCACCGCTATCACAAGAAAATAAAAGGAAGAAGCACCTGGGCTCCTCTCATGGACACCTGCCCACGGCGACTCCCCAGCGCGCCTGACTCCAGCCCAAGGCATGAAGGAGGCCGGTGATCCGCCGGGCTCCGGGGCTCGAGTGGAAGGCCACTGGCCCGGGAGCGCTGCCGACCGAGCGCACCCCATGACCAAGTCTTAATCCCGGACCGGGTTAGGACAGACCTTCGCCTCCGCGCCCCGCAAAGCCTCCCCAAGACCAAGCAGTCTAAGCTACCGTCCCTCTCACTGGACACTGGGGCCCCTCTGGGCTTCCCCTGGTGCCAGCCTCGCTTGGAACATCGGGGCCCGCCCGGCCGCACTTGACCGAACATCCCAGTCCTGGAGGTCAAGGACAGCGGCCGGGAAGCCCAGGAGAGCAAGGAGGGGTTTCCGCGCCGGCTCCGCAGCCGCGCGAAGGGAAGGGCTGGAAGGGGCGGCCAGGAGGAGGCGCCAGGCGCCCACGGCGGGTCCCGAGCCCTGCAGGCTGCCCACACCGGAGGTCCTCAACCACATGTCGGTCGCGGTGGTCTCAACTCCGAGCGCCCGCGGGGCCAGCCCGGACCCCCGGGAACCCCGAGTTCGGAGCGCGGGTGGGATGCGCCCCCCCCCGGGCCCCCCGGGGCGGTTGGGGCCAGTCTGGGTCCTGGAGCCCGGTCCTCACCTCCGCCGCATGCTGCTGTGTCCCCCGGCGCCGGCGACTCCAGGCCGGCCCGGGCGGCCGAGCCCCGCGCGGGCCCGCAGCCCCGCAGCCCCGCAGCCCCGGAGTCCAGCGTACCGGCCGCAGCGTCCGGCGCGGGTAACAGCAGGCGCCGCAGCTGAGGCAGCAGCGCCGCCGCCGGTGGATGGGCGGGCACATGGGAGGGCGGGGGCTGCGGCCCTCGAGGCCAGACCACGGGGTCCCGGCTTCGGGGGCCACAGGTCTAAGCACCATGGTGCACCGGCGCGTGGTTCCGGCCCCTCGGGACGCCGCAGCCACCGGCGGGCTCACGCTGTGTCGGGCCCTCCAGGTTACAAGCAAAAGCAAAGAAATGAGCTGTGGAGTCTCCCTTCTCGCCCGTACCCCCCGCACGGTCCACATGGTACATTCCGCAGAGCGAGACAGGGACGAGCTGATTGGTTGGAGATCTTAGAAGGGGCGGGGAGTTACACGAAATGGCCAATGAAAAAACACGGCGAGCATATCAGCGCCTGCCAGATGGGAAAAGAGAGGATACGTTTAAAGGGGACGTGACTGTTGCGCTCGGGAGCAGCCGCAAAATAAAAGTAGGATTTTCTTCCCGATTCTATGTAGACAGGAAAGAAAGAGTTAGGGGAGCCTCATATGTTTGGAGCAGAGAGCTCAAAAAAAAAAAAAGGGAGCTGAACCGGGTATGTCTCTGACTTGAGCTAGGTAACTCCATTTTTGGGACTCAGTTTCCTCATGTAATCCAGTAACCTATTGGCTAAATTGATCTGTGATGGTCCTCCTTGTATTTTGTGATCCTGTGATTCTTTGTGTGGGATTGGCGATATTTGCATAAAGCCTTCTTTTTGGAAGCTTCACCATCTTAAAACAACTGTTCAAAATAGGTGGACGTGTGTGTCATCAAATGCTTTCTACAGGCAGCACCAACTCCACCTTTTGTAAAGAGAGATACAATTTTATTTCCAGCTCCCTCCTCTCTTGAGACAGAACACTCTCATGTGGGTAGTGACTTAACGCTCCCAAATATCTCCTTATTACTAGGCTTCCAAGTAACTCCTGATTACTATGACATTTCTCCTTATCACCTCTTTCTTTCTCCACATAGTCAGGAAAAGCTTCAATTAATAATTCATTCCCCTGTTGAACTTTCCAGAATGCCTGCTTTCAGCAATAAATCCCAGTGGTCAGTCCTCATTAAGTTGCTAAAGCACTGGTCTCTCTCTGAAATCTGAGGTAGACCATGCAACTGTACATGGCCAGTTATGCTTTCAGCTATATTACTCGCCAACTGCAAGACTTTCAAAGCATCCCTTGAGGGCTTAGTCTGCTCTCTTCTGGAGCTTTATGCAATCAACCAGGTCTATGTTTGGCTACCAAGCTTCAGACAAACTCCACCTTCTTTTTCCAGAAGTTTTCAACCTCCCACCATCTGATTACTCAGCCCTCACCCAGCCCTTTTCCAAGTTGTATCATGTTCTTGATCTACCTTTCCCAACACCTCCAGTTCCTGGTCAGATAATGCATCATTCAACTCTTGTTGAAAGGGTTCTAGAAAGTTCCAGGTCTCCCAGGAAGCCTTCCCAGATTGACTGCCACAAGCTGCTGCACTGCAACTCCATAACCCTGATTTCCCATGCATTCTGCCCCATTTGCAATTTTATTGACATATGTTCCTTTCTCATTGATTTATAACACCAGTGACAATTAAACACTTAGCATGTGGTAGGTACTATTGGGAAAGTCACACATACTATTTCATTTCACCCTCATATCAGCTCTTTGAAGTGCTGTTATTCCTATTTTATGGAAAGAAAACAGGGTTTAGAGAGGCTGATTTGCCTAACCACACAGTAAGTTCTAACTATAGTGCCCTGATTTTAAAACCCCACAATCAAACTATCTTCTGTTTCTAAGTACCTAGTATCGTCCATACAAAAAAAAAGAATACCACACACTTATGTCATGTGTTACATTTAATTTTTACCCCAAATCATTTCAGCCTCAAAAGGAGGGTTAGAACAGTTGGTTTAACCAGTGTTCGGAGCGGCTGACCAACTGAGCAGCGGATGGAGCCCGTTTTCCATTGAAATCCCTGCTCCTGAGTCAAGTAACTCTTCTGCATGCAACAGGCTAAGAGTAATTGAGCACAAAGGAACAAATTCAAAATAGCAAAACCGTCCCATGGGTCCAAGGAGTAGGATTCCAAGACATACAATGGGCAGAAAACAAGTCAAGGAAGATTTCTAGGAAGAGTGAGAAAAGCACTGTTTTTCTTTTTATCATGTGTAGTTTTATAGTCTCAGGGATAGCATGTGTTTGACGCTGCTGGCAAATTCAACAACAAAGAAAACAAAAACTTCCCCCACTGCCTGGAAACATAATGACCCCCAGGTCCATGAGTAAGGAACATTTACATCCAGCACTACTACACTCGTTCCAGGAAGTTTCTCATGTGCAACTAGTAAACTCTCGTTGCACTGACGATTGTTTTTAACACAGCCCTGATAATATAGGGTAAGCTAACAATCTCCTTCTTTTTAAACTGCTGGAATCTTCTTCACTAGACTAGGCACACTAGTAAAATGGTATAGGAGCCAATGAAAGTCTTAATATTGATGAAGAACTGAGTTCTGAAGTCAGTACTTCTGGGTTGCTGTTGGCCTCATCCATCCCTAGGCAACCCAGTTAATTTTCATTCCCTCACTTACCTGTCTCTTCTTATCCCCAGAGAGCTCTAAAACGTCTCTCCTCACCTGAGCACTTTATGCATTCAAACACTTATTGGGTGCGCAAAGCACTGTCAGGTTGTGTAGGATTATCCTGATGGATCACATTTGAAATCTGAATGGACAAGGATGATAATTATCAGAGCCACTTGGTGAGGAGTGGTCAGCCTGACCTCAGACTGTGTGTGGTATGAGTCCACCCTCGGCTCAGCAGATAAGCTCATGGTGGTTTGTCCTGAGCCCTTGCATAGAAGAAGCAGCACAGGGTTAAGTTCTGGGAGAGGGAAGCAGTGGGGAGTGGACGTGTGCATTGGGAAGAAAGGTGGAAAGTTAGAAGGGAAAGAACTAGACACATACCTAACAGAAGGGAGAATAATATCAGTCCATGATTTGGCCATTGGAAGAATTACATCATATCAGTCTAATTTTTAAGGGGGAAAAAAAATAGTTCTCATAGTTCTCATCTCAAAACATATACATGTTCACATTGTTAAAATTTTTAATAGTAAAAGGCCCTCCTTGGTGGCACAACGAGTTAAAGCACAACACTGAGAAGCTGGCTATGGCCGCCTTGGCACAAGTTCAATCCCTGGCCCCAGAGGTGACCCACATGGCACAGCAGACTGCCTCTCCTGTCTTTCCCGCTGCTCCCCTCCGCAGTGTACTTCATCACTGTTCTGCCTGTTTTGCTCCCCACTCTGTCTCTGGTGAGTCCTCTCACTACCCCTGCACTTCTGGTCTGTACCCCAGTTCTGTATACATACATAAAAACATCTTTTAAAAATTTCACAGTAAAAAATACAAAAAAAAAAACAAACCTTATCTTTACCGCCATCACACTGTTATCATTTTGATGTATTTTTCCCTTTATTTTTGTGAACTGTGTATGTATCTTCTTTTCAACAGTGATTAAACTTGCTTATCCACCCCCCACACACACACACTTTTCTCCTTAACAACTGATAGGTGGTTTTCCCCGCCTCTGTATTTTATCCAACAAAATGATTTTAAAGTAGCTTCAAAAACTTAAGTTATTTAACCAAGATTGACTCCATTTTTTTCATGAAAATTTTTTCCAATTTTTCATTGTTATATGTAACCTTAAGGACTACCCATGTCTATAATGGTTTGTGTATTTGCATGGTTTTTTTCCTAACATTTCTAGTAATAAAATTGTTTGGTCAAAGGGTATACATATTTGAAAATTATATCCTATATATTGCCAAATTGTCTTTCAGGTTTATAGCCATTATAGTCCCTCCAGCAACTTACAATGGAGTCATTACTCCGACCCACCAATCTTGAGCATTTCTCTGGTTTGACAATGAGAAGCATTATCTCACTGTTTTAATTATTAGAGTGTATTTTTACCTAACAAAGTTGGAAAATATGTATTTTTTAAAGATTTGCTTATTTATGCATACAAGAACTGGGGTACAGGCCAGAAGTGTGGGGGAAGGGTAAGAGGATTCACCAGAGACAGAGTGGGGAGCAGAACAGGTCTCTCAAAGGGGAGAGATAAAAAATGAGCCTCCTTTTTTTTCTTGTCCTACTTCCCACATGCAGAGAACAAGGGTGTTTCTACCCTGTTTTTCCAGGGCTTTTCAGAAACATGTCACGGCTCCAGTAGGGAGGTGGTTGGAAACATAGAAAGAAAGAGAATTGAAAGGGTAAATACCAGCATGTCAAAAATCTAGGTAAACAAAGGAATGGGTGGGGCTTAGGGCTTTTTGGAATTATTCTCTTCTTGGTAATTTGTGCTTTTTTATTTGGGGAAGGAATGGACTTTGGAAAAACTTCGAAATGATAAAAAAAAAAATTGCATGTTTCAAATAACAGCAACTGTCTCCCTCCAAAAAAAGGAAAGAGAATGGAATGAGAACAGAATCTGAGTCCCTTCCAGACCTCATGGTCTTGTGGATTCTCTGGAAATCCACACCCCATGCCCTTGTATTGTGAAATCCCACCTCCTTGTGCCCAGCAGAGCAGATAGCTGAAGGAACCTTGGCTTTAACGATACTGTCATTGAGAAGCAGGCAGAGCTGAAACCTCTAAGATAATCTAAGCCCCTTGGGTCAGATCCCCTAACCTTATCTAGGAAAGAAATTTCTTTTATTTCTCGAATCTTCAATTCCTGACATCGAAAGCCCTAGGAGGGAGGACAGAAGGCGGCTGACAGCCATTACGGCTGGCCCGACACTCCCACCTGCCAGCTTGGAGGGCATGGTAAGGTGCAGGTGAGGCTGAGATTAGGCAACAGCAGGTGATGCGAGAACCTAGTATAAACTCGAGCTTCCCTGCTGTGGTGTCTCTCTTCGGCACCCCCATATC